CTATACTCCTTCATTCTTTTTTTTTTGGAGGAAGATTAGCCCTAAGCTAACTGCTGCCAATCCTCCTCTTTTCGCTGAGGAAGACTGGCCCTGAGCTAACATCCGTGCCCACCTTCCTCTACTTTATACGTGGGATGCCTACCACAGCATGGCTTGGCAAGCGGTGCCATGTCTGTACCCAGGATTTGAACTGGCGAACCCCAGGCCTCCGAAGCGGAACATGGGTACTTAACTGCTGCGCCACTGAGCCTGCCACTGCTTCATTATGCTTATCTCCTTTTGTGATGATCTTATTCAATATCTGCCTCCCTCATCTGACTATGTCTATCCTGTTACCTCCATGTTACCAATGCCCACACGGTACCTGGCACAGAATGGCAGAATGACTCAGGTGGCTTCTCTGTGCCCCTCTCAGATATAAAAAGTAGCATTGGTCTCCTTTATCAAGTGCTTCCTTACTATGTGCCAGGCACTGTGCTATGCATCCTACACATCCGGTCTCCTCTAATTCTTACACAGCTTTAGCAAGTGGGTACCAGCACAGTTCCCACTTTCCAGATGAGGAAACTGAGGCTGAGACAGGTGAAGTGACTTGTTTCAAGCTGCCCAACTAGGAAGTGGCAGAGTCATGATTCAAAGCCCACTTGGCTAGACTGGCTCAACCAGGGGGTTCAAGGTGAGAGCTGGAAGGACTGGTTGCTCAGAAGTGTGACTTCGGCTCAGTTGAGCTGGGCTGAGCAGTTGGGCTGACTTCCCCTGAACAGCAAGTAAGCGTGGAGGCAGGGCGATGGCCCCAGGAGGTGCTGGTGGCTGCTGGCATTGGGCATGGGAAGGAGAAGGCATGACACTGTGCCTTCACCCCTTGCCCTGCAGAAAGCCAATGGGACCTGCAACACCAACTTCAAGAAGACGCAGGAGGTGGAGCAGGTGACAAAGGTGCTGGAGGACTTTGTGGATGGGAACCATGGACTCCTGGTGAGTGGGTCACCCATGCCTCAAACTTAGCAGCTTGGGACCACCACCATCATGGTTGCTCCCAAGTCAATGGGCTTTTACTTTGGGCTGAGGTTGGCTGATACTGGCTGGTATTGCCCACCATCTTTGGTCACCTAGGGGCTTGGCTAGGCCTGGCTGGTCTAGGATAGTCCTGCTCACATGTCTGGTGGCTAGCTCGCTGTCTCGGCTCATGACTTGGCCACATGTCTCTCATGATCCAGCAGGCTAGCCTGGGCTTGTTCTTAGTGTGGAAGCAGGTGGCCAAGAGAACAAGTGAAAACGCAAGGCCCCCTGATGGCTAGGCTCAGAATGGCCACCATCATTTCTGCCATGTTCTATTGGCCAAAGCAAGTCCTCTGACCAAGCCTAGATTAAACGGGAGCAAACTCCACCTCTTGGTGGGAGGAGCTGCTAGGAATTGTGGGTATCAAGTAACCTACCAACCACACTCTTTTCTGTGCCACCCTGATGCATCCGACCCCCCAGCCCCATCCCATTTTCCCCATGGCTCCCCTTATCCCATCCTGGCTGGGGTCTGCCCACTCCTCTTGGGGTATGGAACGAGGTCAGGTCTCAAGGTGAGTAAGGACCCACAAGGTCCCTGTGCTAACCAAGAAACCCTCCCTCTCACACACAGAGAAAGTATGTGGCTCGCCTGGAACACCTTCGTGAGGCCCTGGAGAACTCGCCCTTCTTCAAGACCCACGAGGTGCGAGCCCCGGCCACCATGGGAGCAGACGGCCCTGTCGGGGTGGGGGGGACTGTCGGGGTCCAGGTCAGGTGGCACTGAGGGGAAACTGCTGACAGAGTTACAGGCCACAGCTGTAAAAAGGAGGCCCCAGGTGTGGGGGTTTGCCTTTTTGGGGTAGGCAGCACAGGGGATTTCTGGGAGGTGGGACAGTTAGGAGCACGGACTCGAGCCGGGTGGCCTGGGATGAAGGCTGGTTGACCCTGGGCGTGTGAACTACCCTCTCGGGCCTCGGCTTCCTCCTGACATGGGGAAGAACAGTAGTGCCTTCTTCATGCGGCTGCTGAGGCGTGAGACGAGCGAAGAAGTGCTTTTACCTCCTAGCTCTTGCAGCTACTTTATCATCTCAGTTAGTTCCAGTTACTGTTATCTGCCTTCCTTGTTTGGTGGCTCGCCCCTTCCCTTTCCCTTCTCCCTCCCTTCTGCAGCTGCGTCTCTTTGGAAACATTCATCACTCTGGGCCTGTCTCAGAAAGTCTGTGAGGTGGTGAGGTCACCGCCTGTGTCCTCTCCAAGCTCCTCTGCCATCAAGCCCCTCTCTCCTCTCTTTCCTGATATCACTCTCTTCTGAAAGAGCACTGATCTGGGGTTCAGGCCGGCTTGGGGTCAAACCCCAGCTTTGCCCTCCCCAGTCGCCTGGGCCTGGGCAGTGGTCCCACGGGCCTGTCTGCTGAGCTGCATGCTGGGGTGACAGGAGCACCTGCCTCCGGGGCATGGGGGAGGTTATGAGGGTGAATGTAGTGCAGGCCCAGCCCATAGTAAACCCTCAGTGTGTGCCAGCTGTTATTGCCACGTTTGTTATCAAACGTCACCCTCGTAGTCCTTGTCACTGCTTTCCGGCTTTGTATGCAAGTCACAAAGAGGAGGCCAGGGGACTGCATCTCTTCTGTCTTCATGTTTGGTTTCACCTGCCTGGTGACTTAGTACTTTAAAAAAAGAGTTTAAACATTTAAAACGTGAGATTTCACACCAAAATTGGGATTTCCAGTTTCCCGTGGCAACCCGGGGCCCCTCGCCGTGTGCCCACAGCCATCCAGAGCTGGGCGGTGCCTGCCTCTTCTCACCTGCCCGTCTGCCCAGTCATCTGGGTTCTCTGGGAGCAGTGGTGATTGAAGCCTGACTAGAATAAGCGAGGGGCTCACAAACCTGGAGTTAGATGAAGGGAAGGAACATATTGCTAATCAAAAAAAGAAAAACAGCATCTACTGAGGGCTGTGTGCCCAGCACCACAGGGCAACTTAGGAGCGTGTGGATTGTGGAATGCCGCCAACGACCCCAGGAGGTTGGGGCTGTTCCCGTCACCCCATTCTACAGATGAGGAAACTGAGGCCTGGAGAAAGGAAGCCACTTTGCTTGGGGTCACCAGCAGCAATCTGCTGGGGCTGAGGAGTTGCTGCCCCTTTCTGTGGGGCAAGCATTATCCACTTCCTTAGTATTACCCCCCCAACCTCCTGCCAGGGCTCTTGTGACCCACCCAGGATCCTGCAGGCATGTGAATTTGTACCCCAGCCTGAAAAAGGATGTGTGTTAACCTTTGTTGTGAGTTTGTTATACTGGCAACTGTTCTGAGAGTTTTATATGGATTAATTCGTACATAAAAATATGCACAGCAACCTTTGAGGTTGATGGTGCTATTATTCCAGTGCAGAGATAAGGAGAGGTTAAGTCACCCACCCAAGGCCACAAAGCCAGTAAATGGCAGAGCCAGGACTTGAACCCAGGCAACTGAGTTCCAAAGTTCATGCTGTCAGCCACCCCCCTCAGCTGCCTCTGGGGAAGGGACCTTGACCCGGGCCTGCGCCTCCCCCTAACCTCCGGCCTCTTCCCCTGCAGGTGGTAGGCAGCTCCCTCCTCTTTGTGCATGACCACACCGGCCTGGCCAAGGTCTGGATGATCGACTTCGGCAAGACAGTGGCCCTGCCTGACCACCAGACGCTCAGCCACCGGCTACCCTGGGCTGAGGGCAACCGTGAGGACGGCTACCTCTGGGGCCTGGACAACATGATCTGCCTCCTTCAGGGGCTGGCTCAGAGCTGACCCGCTCGCCCCCCACCATGTTTATTTATTGGATGGTGCCTGTCTGGCTGGAAGAGCCTGAGATGCAGGGGGCCTGAGGTTGGCCACGGGGGAGCTGGCATCCAGGCATGGGAGAGGTGGTTGCACACCTCACAAGACCGGAGTGGAAGATCTGCAGGGCCTCGGAGGCTGGGCAGCACCTGGCCCTTTCATGGCACAGGGGTTGTAAAGAACAGAGAGGGGGCCTGACAGATTGGGTCTGCTGACCAGCCAGGAAGGCTCCTGAGGGGCTGCCGGAGGCCACAGCTAAACCAGGCGCCCCGAGAGAACACAATGCAGGTGCTGCAGGTACACGTGTGACCTGGCGCCTGTCAGTGCATGAAGAACTGTAATCACTGCCTCCTTGTCAGCCCCCTCCCAGCTGGAAGCTGGCTCCCTGAGGCCAGGGACCTGTCAGCTTCGTCTGTGGTGTCCCAGAGAACTAGACATTTGTGAACCAATGCTGGAGCTGCTCGTCCGCCTAGAATTACAGCCCCATCTCTTCATCTGGGGGCTGTTCCAGGGCTGTGGGAGGCTCTGAGGAAGGGCTGACACCACGGGACCTGTCCAAGAGCTGACACTGCTGGGTGGTGCCCGGCTCACTCTGTCCTGCCCTCCCTTCCTCCTGGGAGAATTCTGCTGACCCTCTGCAGACCAAAACCACAACCACCTCCCACGCCAGCAGTGTGACCAGCACAAGCTTTCCTCGAGCACAGTGCAGCCTCACTTTCTCCTTCCTGGCCGACTGCAGTGGCACACACGGCTTTCCAAGGTCAGGAAGCAGGGCTGCATTCCTCCGGAGGGCCCCCGTCCCTGAAAAGTGCCCAGCTCGGGCCAGGGGTGCAGGGTGGGGCCGCTGACCAGGACTGCAGGCTTGCAACTTGGTCCCAGCCCAAGATCCCAGCCCCCTGAGGTGTGGGTGATGGCCTTCTGTCCCCTCCTCCTGCCCCTGTCACTTTGGCTTCCTGGCCCACAAGGCTGGGCCAGGGTGGGGGGTGGGGGACAGGCACCTCCTTCTCCCCAAGGCTCTCACACTGTCTTCTAGGCCTGCGGTGCGCTCCTTTTCTACTGACCTTTATACTTATTTATACGAGACAGTAGTTGTTAGATGGGGCAGCGTCGGGAACAGGAGGCAAAACCGCCTCACTGCCTTCTCCCCCGTGACGACCCCCCAATAAACAGGACATTCAGAGTCAACTTTGTGGCGTTTTTCCTTTTGCATCGGGGTGTGCGGGCTCAAAGCTCCTGATCTGAGCCTTAGTGCCAGGTGGGTTAAGGGGACAATGATCCATCTGGGGTAAAGGCAGGCTCGGCATGGGCTGTCCGGTCATCAGTGGTCACCGAGCTGTTACTCTTGTGCTTGGCTCTGTGCTGGATGATGCAGGAGACACAGTGATCACTAGGCAGCTCCAAGCTCTGCCCTCAGCGGCTCCCAGGCCAGTACACCTGACAGTGCCAACCAATGTCAGGGCTGGGATGGGGGACACCACACTTCTGGTTAGAAACACTACACTGAACCGTTGCTCTGGCTAAGACTCTTTGCTGGGCACCGGGGACAGAGCAGTGACCAAGACAGATTTCTCCCTCTCCCTCCCCTTTCAGAGTAAAGGCAACAAGTATTCACTAAACTGATAATCGCTCTACGTATATATCTGTATGGGTACTAACTCCCTGGTTTGAATCTTGGCCCTGGGACTTGCCGAGCCACGTGACCTTAGGCCGGTGGCTGCACTTCTCCTGGCTTCAGTCTCTCATCTGGAAGACGGAGAGGATCTAGCACCTTCCTTACAGGCCTGGAGGATTTCATGGCTTAACACAGGTACGGGGTTGGCACGTAGTAAGTGTTCTCAGAAGGATTTGCTTGTTGTTTTTAAATCAGGAGAACACAGAGATGGGAGAGGGGCCCAGCCAGGGCTGAGGGCACCTTCCCTGAGGAAGTGACAGCCATGATGGGGCAGTTAAGGAGTTAGCAGAGGGCTGCAGTGGGGTACGACAGGGGCCTGACAGGCCAGTGTGGCTGGTGGCAAAAGTGTGAGGAAGAACGGCCTAGGACAAGGAGAAGCGAGCTGAGGCTGGGAGAGATCAGTCCCTATCGTGTGAGCAACAAGGAGCTGCTAGAAGCTTCTCTGGTGGAAAGTGGGAAGATCTGGTTGGTGTTTTTTTGCTCCCTCAGCCCTGGCTCCATGTGAACAGCCACGGGGCAGCAGGGGGTCCAGTGGGGGGGCTCCCGCAGATGACCAGAGAGAGGACAGTGGTCTGGGGGGGGGGGGGCGTCACCAGTGAGAAACGGATGGGTGCAACATCGAGGTGTGATGGACAGGACATGGGGTCTGAGCTGTCATCAGTCTCTCCTGGAGAGAGGGAGCTGGTTTGTCAGGCTCCTGGCTGTAACCCCAGCCTACACAGTAGGTGCTCAATACTGGGGGGATGGGCTTGGGGGTGGGGGAGTGGGGATAATGCCAGGATTGGGACTAGATGGACTGGGGGGGACCCTGCATGAAGGATCTCTGGCTGGAGGTCCTCAGAGATCCAACCCAAACCCTTGGGCTGTCATACAAAACAAGAACCTGGGGAGCTCTTCAAACAGTGACAGAGCCAGGCTGTGGCTGGGGCCCGGTCCCCTGGTTCAGGGCTGCAGCAGGCTTGGGGCTGGAGTCCTGTGGTCTGAGGAGCAGGGCCTGGCCACAGAGGCCGGCTCGCACCCCACCAGCAGGCACCACATACTCCCGGCCATCGGCGGCCCTCGTGGGCGAGAAGTCCGTCAGCTGCAGGTTGCTATCCCGGACTTGGTCGTAGTCCCACAGCTGGTAGTGCCAACTCTTGCCCTGCTTGGAGAGAAGGTAGACAGCTCCTGGCGAGCCTTCCTCCGGTAGAGATGGTGGCTGGTGGGGCATGCCAGGTGCTGGGTGGAAGAGGCCTGGCAGCTCAGGGTCCTCAGCATAGCTCAGGCCTGGCACATGCTGCACGCCCAGCAGGACCCCTGGGAGGAGACGGGGAGGCTGTGAGTGGGAGCTGAACCCTGACCAGGTGCTGGGGCTCACTGAGTCCCCCCACAGCCCTTCAGAATAGGTGTTGCCTCGATGCCCACGTTACAGAGAAGTCATGGGGGCCAGCAGGCAGGGCTGAGATTGGACCCAGGTGTCTGGCTCCAGAGCCGTAGACATTTTAAGTCTTGCCTCCCACAGCCTGTTAGCACAGGGAGGTGAACAGGCAGCATTAAACAGAGCAAACAGGGCCGGCCTATTGGCGCAGCGGTTAAGTTCACACGTTCCGCTTCTTGGCAGCCCAGGGTTCACTGGTTCGGATCCCGGGTGTGGACATGGCACCGCTTGGCAGAAGCCATGCTGTGGTAGGCGTCCCACATATAAAGTAGAGGAAGATGGGCATGGAAGTTAGCTCACGGCCAGTCTTCCTCAGCAAAAAGAGGGGGATTGGCAGTAGTTAGCTCAGGGCTAATCTTCCTCAAACAAACAAAAACAAACAGAGCAAACAGCTGTTTGCATCAAGAAAAAGATGCTCAGAGAGGAGCCCTCAAGGCCAAAGATACAGGCCACCGGACACATGCAAATCCGTCCTTCTTTCAGGCAGCTGGAATGACGACAATGCTGATCACAGCTAATGCTGAGACGGGTAACGTGCCAGGCACCATTGTACAAGTTTTACATGTTCTGCCTAGGAGGCAGGCCAGTGAGGTGGCTACTACTGTCACCTTGATTTCCAGATAGAGAAATGGAAGGCCAGAGTCAGAGCCTGAAAGTGGCTGGCCCGGGCCTGCAGCCCAGACTGTCTGATCCTAAAGTCTGTGCTCAGAGCTTGTTTGTGGAAACCCCGACTGGCAGACAGTGAGGCACCTGCTGTCCGCCAGGGCCCTGCTAAGGACCCTGCGGGGACAGGGATGACCCAGCCTTGGTCCCTGCCTCGAGGGACTGGGGAAGTGCCAGTGCAACGGTGAGACTGTGAGGAGGGGTGGAGAGGGGCTGGGGAGATGCAGGTGAGGGCTTGGGGTGCAGGTGTGGAGGACTCACCTGCACTCACTGCCCAGTGGGCCTTGCAGCCCCTCCTCTGACATGGCTCGTGGTTGAAGTCCTCGTCGTAGCTGGCGCTGGGGTCAAGGTCAAAGCTGTGGTGTGGCCCTGGGACCCACCCTTCGCTCTCCCCACCCTGCTCTCTTCATGGCGTTGGGATACGGGATAAGCAAGGGATGTCCGGCGACAAGGTGACGCAGGACATGGTCTCGGTTGGGACCTCCCAGGCCACCGCAGAGCAGCTCCGCCTGGCAACCCAGTGCCTCCTGGGCCAGCCTGCCCATGTCGGCCACTGCAGACAAAAAGCAGACACAGAATGAGAAATCACTGCGTGCCTGGCACCATGCCAAGGGCTCTCCAGGGACTGACACCTCTAACCCTCACCATGACCATCACCTGTTTGCACAAATGCAGAAAATGAGGTACAGAGAGGGTAAGCTGCTTGTCCAGGGCCACACAGCAGGAGGTGGCAGAGCTGAGCTGGGAACCTGGGCAGCCTGACTTGAGTCTACCTTCTAACACTTGGCTCTACTGGGTGGGGAGGAGAGCCTAAGGAATGGAATAAGGGCCCCTAACGCGCCTGGCAGTGTCCCACTCAGCCTCTCCAGCCCTTTCCTCTCCACCCAGCTTGCGACCCTTCTACACTCAACTCACCAGAGAACATCTCCCCCTGGGCTGTGTAGCCTCTCTCCATGGCCATCTGCACGAGTCTCTCCAGGGGGATGCCGCTGGGGGGCACCAGAAGAGTGCCTGCCATCCACAAGGCCACCAGTCCGCACCTGGGGAGAGCCAGGCCCAGCCCCTCAACCCCTAAGTCACGTCTTTACTGGGCCCCCTCTGCCCTGGAAGCTGGCAGGTGGGGAACAGGATTGCTGCCCTGGGGGAGCTCCCCTCCTCTCTCTCAGGCCAGGTGGGGACACCTGACCCCTCTTCATGAGAAAGAGAATGGCCAAGGCCTGGGCCCAGGGCTGGAGGGCTGCAGGCGGGGTGGGAGGGTGGGCAGAAATGTCACCTGGGCTTCCAGGAGGAGCAGGTGCTGAAGTCGAGTTAGAGATGAGGCTCTGGGTCCATCTGTCCACTCACCTGCTCATTGGTTCCAGTTCTGTTTATGGTGCAGGCACCCAGGACCCTGACTTGGTAAGTTCCCCCCTTTCCCTCCTCCTCCTCCCCAGGCTGCCTCCTCCCACCCCCCAGGGTAAATCCTCAGAAGCACAGCAAAGGCAGGGGCTCGCAAGACCGGCGGCCAGGGTGCTGGAGTTCCGCCGCAGGGCACGTACTGAGGGCCTTCTTGGATGAGGGAGGGCAGGTCGGCACAGAAGAGGATCCACCGCAAGTCACTTCTGAAACTGGATCAGAGCCACACTCGGGTCACGCGGGAACCAGCTCCCAGAGCCCCCGCTGGAGGTCTGGCTGGGAGTGGGGCATCAAGGGACGCTGAAGAGGAGGAACACAGGCCTGGCAGTCCTGAGGCCCGAGGGCCGCTCCAGGCTCCGTCGCTGACCACTTCCACCCCTGACGAGGCACTTCCCCTCCCCGAGCCTCAGTTTCCTCATCTGCTCAATGGGAACCATCCTCCCACCTGCTGCTCCCTGCTCTTCAGTTAGTGAAGGGGCAAAGAGCAGACTGCAAAGGGGCTGCAAATCCCTTAATCCAGCCTTGAGTAAAACCAGAACATGCTCCAGGCCTAAAGATCGCCTTCATAAGGAGCCCTTGCAGGCCTGCCCAGCCCCTCCCCCCCCCACCGCCCACGCCCACGCCCACTGCTCCGGGGATGCCCATCCCACCCTTCCAGGGCTCCTGAGGGGCTGGGTGAAGTGCTTATACTTCTATTCCAAGGCAAGGCTGGTGCGGACACCCCACCCTCCTGATGAGAGCAGGCCATATCACCATACACGGTTAAAAGTGTGGACCCCTGTTGCCAGAGTTCAAACTGGGCTCTTCCTCTTCTAGGCACTGTGGCTAAGTGACTTCACTTCTACGAGCCTCAGTTTTCTCATCTGGAAAATGGGCTAATAGTTCCTACCCCTTGGAGTTGCTGAGCAGATTAAATAAGAACTTAAAAACACTCAGCACAGTGCCTGATGTGTGCAGGGCACACACAGCGGATGCTGTTATTTGCATCAAATTTGCCTCACTATGGCTGGGGCACTTAGGGCAGATTAATAACTTGTGTGGAGAGCTGGAAGTTTCCTCGAGGAGTCTGGGCAAGTCACTTCTCCCTCTTTCCCTCAGCCAGGCAATCGTTACACGGGGTCCCCACAGCCTGAGCCCAGGTCTAGCCCCCTCCCCTCCCACCTGGGCCCCCAGATTCCAGTGTCACCACCTCCACTCCCCGCAGGTGGCCTCCCTTCCTGTATGAGGCCCTCCACGGCTCCCCAGGGCCCTCAGGACAGTCTAGCTTCCTTCACGTGCCCGTCCTGCCCTGCCCACCTGTGAAACCCCATCTTCACCACTTCCCCTGTCCCGTTACAGAACATGTTTGCAGGTTCCTCAACAGAACAAGTCTTCCTCTCACTCTGGGTCTCTGCACAGGCTGCTTACTCTCATCACACAGCCCTGCAGGACTTGCTCCACAGCACTCGGGGCTCCCCTTCTCCAGACAGGCCCCACGGACCCCCAGCCTGGGTCGGGCAGTCCCTCCGGGTGCCCTCATCACAGCTCTGACCACGCTGGGCTGCCCCTGTCCCGTGGAGGGAGGGATCTGTCTCTCACTGGCCTGCTGAAGGGTCTCAGGACAGCGCTGGAGCAGCCAGACTGTTTGACCTTGAGGGAATGGGAACCCCCAAGAGGAGAGGGCTCAAGTGATCTGGGCACAGGTGGGTTGGTGAGACCCTGGGCGGGTGGGGTGGGGCGGGGCACGGGGACCCTACCGGTCCTTGTGCAGCTTCAGGAGCCTCTTGACGTCCTCTCTGCCCCTGGGGACTGGGCCGGCCTTCTCCAAGGCCTCCTTCAGGAGCCGGCTCTTCTCCAGGCCGTAGACGTGAGGGGGAGCAACCCCTGGGGCGGTGGGTGGAGGTGGCAGTGGGGGTGGCGGGGGAACGGGGGCCTCAAGACTCGAGGAAGGGGGTGGAAGAGCTAAGTCGGGGAGATGTGGGGGCAGGGGAGGAGGTGGCAGGATGGGGGTCTGGGGTGCAGGTGCCTTTGGAGGAGGGGCTGGGGGCTCTGGAGGAGGAGGGCATGGAGAAATCATTTTGGGGTCTATGGCATGGGTTGGAAAATCGAGAATGGGAGAGGGAAGGATCCTCCAAAATGAGTTGGTCTCAGGGATGGAGACTGAAGATTTTAGAGCTGAGTTCCCGAATTTGAGGGCTGAGCAGTCATGGGAAGAATCAGGGTAAAATTGGGACCATGGGAGCCGGGATGGCGGCTGACTCAAATCAGGAGGGATCTGAGGGTTAAGCAGGGTGGGGTCCTTTCATCCGGAGCCAGATTTGTGGTACAGAGCTGGCTGCAAGCCTCGGGGAGGGAAAGGGAGTGGGGGTTAACTTACTATCCGGGCTAGATATGGAAACTTCGGGGGTCAATTTTGGGATATGAAGGCTCAAATTTGGGGTGAGGCACCTAAAGGGTGGGATTTAGAAACCCAGGGCTGCAGCCTGGGGAGTTCGGGCTCCGTAACCCCTCACATCCCAGGCCCGAGTTCAGAACCTTGGCTGACCTTTGAGTCAGAGGTCAAGAGGTCAAAAGGACACCTGGCAGGAAAACCAGCCTAGTGGTGGAGAAGGTCCTGGAATCAGAGCGCCACAGGAAAAGTCTTGTGGGCTGGGGAAGGCTCAGAAATCGGAGGGCGCTGGGAACCGCGATACCGCCGGCACAGGGAATGGAAGAAAAAGGAGCCTCCGCCTTCCCGCAAAATGGCGGCAGCAGAACACAACCTTTCCCACGTCACGTGGTAGAACTCGCAACTCGGGCCCGCCCCTTCAGCGGTCACGTGACAGAGAGGGCGGAGAGGTGGGGCTTCCAAAGGACTGCCTCCGGAAAAGACGCGTCCCGATTGGCGAAAAGCGCGTGAGGGGGCGTAGCCGTCACTGATTGGTCCGTAGCCCCGGGCACAGCAGAAGGCGGAGGGTTTGCGGGGGAGTGGGCGGGGCTTTCCTGCTGAGGCGGGAACCCAAATGCCGTTTTGATTGGCAAGATCTGGGCCCAGGGGCGAGACTTACTCTAATTGGTCAAGCTACCGAGTGTCCGCGCGGGGATTGGCTTGCAGAAAGACAGAGGCGGGGCCAGGAGAGGAAGCTCAGTGACCGGCGCTCAGAAACGTAGCAGGCGCCGCTTGCGGGAGCTGCGGCTCTGTCGGTGAGTAATCTATGGGTCAGGAGGTATTCGACGCCGGGCGGGCGTATCGCTTGGCTCCCGGGCCTTCCTGCGCCTCGTGTGGGGAAACTATTTTCCCGCTGCGCGAGGCCAGGGCGCCGCAAAGTCATCTCTCCTTCCCCAACGGGCTCTACATCCGGGCTTTTTCTCCTAGGCTGCCCTCTGAGCGCTTGGGCCAATGGGAATCGCCACTTAGAACGCTCCGCCTACTGATCGCGTATAGCATGCTGGGACTCGTAGTAGCGCTTTCGAGAGTTCCCTCGCACGCGGGGAGGAGAAGTGGTGTCTTGCGTTCGCTTTGTTTCCCGAGCTTCGCCTGTCTCTTCCCTCCTCCACGCCCTACCTGACTTCCTCCTGGGAGGAAGATCCCTAGGCAGCCCGCGTTGGGGCAAAGGATTTGGAGAAAGCCAGGGCTGAGGTTGCCTTTTCCACTTTTTCAGCCCTACCGCACTCCATGGCAGTTCCCGAGACCCGCCCCAACCACACTATTTATATCAACAACCTCAACGAGAAGATCAAGAAGGATGGTGAGTTCTCGCAATAGTCCAGACTCCAGGCTGGCCCGCAGGAGCCGGCCCCCTCTTCCATCCCCGGTATCCGCCTGTCTTCCTCAGCCTTCTCCAGCCAGACTGTTAGAGTTGATCCCTCGACCTTTGCACGTGCTGCTTCCTCTGTCTTCACCACTCCCTCCGCGCATCTCACACTCGGGCACGGCACGGCACGGTAACCTGGTCACTGTTGCTCATCCTTCAGGGTTTCGGCTTACAGGACCCCTCCTCCAGGAAGTCTTCCCCACCCCCTTTCCCCTCAGGTGCCTGCCTCTGACTTCCCACAGGCCCTGGACATTCCCCCTCTCGCCCTGATCGTTCTGGGCTGTCATGGGGCTGTCTCTCCACTGGCCTCTGAGCTTCATGAGGGTAAGAATTGGGACTGCCCTGGTCACTGTTGTGTCCTCAGTGATCAGCCCAAGAAAAAAATGTTTTGTTCCAAAGTGAAAATGACTATTAATACTTTAATTTTTAAAAATGCGAAGAATAATCGTGATGGCCAGCACTCTGCCGGGTGCTGATATCGGAATCTTGATCACATTTAATATTCACAGCAATCCTGCAGGAAGGAGCTATTATTCCCATTTCTTAGATTAGGAAATTGAGACTCAGGGGTGATGTGACTTGTCCAAGGTCACACAGCAAGGAAAAGTGACTGAGGCCACCAGTGTGGAATTCTGCTAAAAGAATTGATTCTTTTTTATTTTTATTTTTTTGGTGAGGAAGATTGGCTCTGAGTTAACATCTGTTGCCAATCTTCCTCTTCTTTTTTTTTTCTATTCCTCAAAGCCCCAGTACCTAGTTATATATCCTAGTTGTAAGTCATTCTAGTTCTTCTATGTGGGATCTGCCACGGTGTGGCCTGATGAGCGGTGTGTAGGTCTGCGCCCAGGATCTGACGCTGGATCCAACCCTGCAAACCCTGGGCTGCCAAAGCAGAATGTGCGAACTTACTCACTCCGCCCTCAGGCTGGCCCCAGGACTTGATTCTTGACATCCAACATACTGTTACATTTTTTCCAGCAAGTTTTTACCTTTATTGAAGCTCACTTTCTGTATTTGAAAACTGGGCAAAATCATAATACCTGCTTGGCGTGGATGTTACGGGGATTACATTAGCTAAACCTCCGTGCAGCCCTTGTTTTTATGGTACCTGGCAGTTAGCAGGGGCTGGATGAAGGTTAGCTCCTGTCATCACCTCGAGAAAATTGTCGGGAGAACCGAAGGAGCTTGCTGGGATTAAGTTTCAGGTTACCAGTAAAGTTGCTGTTGAAAACAACAAGCCACGTAAAGCCCCTATGTGCTTTCTAGCATCATGCCCAGCCAGCACCCTGCAGGGCTGAGCACGCACTGGTGGCTCAGACAGTCCTGGCCCTGCCTTCATGGAGGAATTCGTTCATGAAATTCATTCATAGAAAGAGGGATTCATTCAGTTTCGTAGAGGAGGAGACATTCTGGAAGAGTGTTCCTAACCTGGACCAGCATGTGCAAATAGCTGGGGCCCAAGGAGAGCTGGGGCATTCTGGGAACTACAGGTAATCTGGTGTCCCTGAGGCCTAGAGGAGCAGCTTCCAGGGAGCCGTGCCCTGGTGGCTCATGGGGCCCTGTGAGCCGGGTGCGGCATGGGACTTCGTCCTGAGGGCATCGGGAGCCAGGCAAGGGATGCAGTCAGTCGTGAAAGTTCTTCCCAACTGCGGAAGGTGAACTTGGGTGGGCGAGGGAGGACACTGGGGAGAGGCCCAGAGTCCAGTGGGATGACTGAGGCCCCGGCTGGGGTCATGGGGATGGAGGAGAGAGACAAAACCCAGAAATTTCGGGGCTGGCTCCACGGCCGAGTGGATAAGTTCGTGTGCTCCACTTCCGTGGCCCAGGGTTTCACTGGTTCAGATCCTGGGCATGGACATGGCACTGCTCATCAGGCCACGCTGAGGCGGCGTCCCACATAGCATAACCAGCGGCACTCACAACTAGAATCTACAGCTATGTACTGGGGGTCTTTGCGGAAGAAGAGAAAAAAAAAGATTGACAACAGATGTTAGTGCAGGTGCCCACCTTTAAAAAAAAAAGCAAACAGAAATATCACCGGGAGAATTTTGGTTAATTGCTTCAAAACACCCTTGTGGGGCCGGCCCCGTGGCTGAGTGGTTACGTTTGCGTGCTCTGCTTCGGCAGCTCAGGGTTCGCCAGTTCAGATCCTGGGCGCACACCTAGCACTGCTCATCCAGCCGTGCTGGCAGATCCCACACAAGAACTAGAAGGACCTACAACTAGGATGGACAACTAGGTACTGGGGCTTTGGGGAGGGAAAAAAAAGAGAAAAAAGAAGATTGGCAACAGGTGTTAGCTCAGGGCCAATCTTCCTCACCAAAAAGCATTAAGAAAAGAAAATCTGGCTTCCCCCTGAACCCCACTTGCCCTGCCTACACACACATTTTCATTTCTTCCCTCCCCTAGAATGTCTTTCACCAGCCGTTTGAGCTCAGATACCTTCTTTGCGTAAGATCGGTCCCCTTTTCCAGCCCGGGCGGTAGGAGAGGTCCTTCCTGAGTCTAGTTTGACTTCCGCTTGCTGTCCAGTGAGGAGGCATCTTGCTAGTGAGCTGCGGTGACACTGGACTCAGGTGGACTTGGCTCTTCCCAGCTCTGCAGGGGTTTCCCGGCACCCTCGGGACACCCCTCCTAGGCCCATGATAAACATCAGATCCTGCTTCCGTCTTGGTAAAACGGAGACGGTTCAGTTGCTCCCTCGTGGGGCTGTTGTGAGATTTAATGAAGTTACTTCCATCAAGCGCTTCATGGTGTCTTTTTCCTTGGAAATGTTTGTGAAGTTTGTGTGCTGGAGCCTGCGCTGAGCGTGGGGATGCTGTGTAAAACAAATTGGATGGGCTGTAGGTCTTCAGAAGGAGAGCTAGACAACAAGTAAACATGTTAGGAGGTGGAAAATGCCCTGAAGGAAAAGCAGGTAGGGTACGAGGCCAGGGGAGAGTGACACGAGGGGGCATTTCTTTAGACAGAGTGGTCAGGGAAGGCCTCCAAGGTGGCAACGTTTCTGCTGAGACCTGGGTGACTAGAAGGAAGTAGCCATGTACACATCAGGAGAAAGGTTCCTGGAGAGGGAGCAGCTGGTGCAAAGGTCCTGAGGCAGAAATCTGTGTGACGGGCCCGAGAAAGGGTCGGGAGACTAGTGTGGTTGGAGATACCAGGGTGAGATGGAGTGTGGGGAGAGATGAGGTTGGAGAGGTCAGCCAGGGCCACATCACCCAGGCCTGTGTCAAGGTGCTAGGGACAATGAAAAGAGTGTGCATTTCTGGGGCGGTGGCTGTGTGCCCTTGTAAGTATGGCTCGTTCCTCATACAGCAGCCCTGTGGGTGGGTATTGTTACTGCCCACCTCTTACAGCGGATGCACATGACCACTGGGGCCATTCTTGGCTGCTGCTGGTGTTGCTGGCTCTTGAGGGATTGCTGACCCACGGCATTCTGGGTAGGCTGTCAGTTGACTGATGGTTTCTCTTCTGGGCTGCACTTCCTTCTGAAAAAGGGACTTCAAGCCCCAGGACGTGGTACCAAGGCCTCTGGTCACCCCTGGATCTTTCCCTCCCCCTCTGCAGAGCTGAAGAAGTCCCTGTACGCCATCTTCTCCCAGTTTGGCCAGATCCTGGATATCCTGGTGTCTCGGAGCCTGAAGATGAGGGGCCAGGCTTTTGTCATCTTCAAGGAGGTCAGCAGCGCCACCAACGCCCTGCGCTCCATGCAAGGTTTCCCCTTCTACGACAAGCCCATGGTGAGCACTGGGGGTGTGGAGGATGTGCGTGTGAGCGTGCCTGTGTGTGCACACATGTGCCAAGTGCTGTAGGACACTGGGTGGGCCTGGACTTCTGGGACCTGTAGTCCAGTCTCTTAAGGACAGGAGTCTCTCTTCCTGTCCCTCAGCTTTCACTGTCACTGTACTGGGGTGTGGGGACACACAGTGACCAAAGGAGCCCCTAGCCCTGCCCCCTCAGACCCACAATGCTGTGGGAGAGACAAGCCTGTCACCAGAGGGTGGCGACCCAGAGGGGTCAGGGCTGGGTTGGGGGTAGTGCACAGAGCTGGGGGAGGTTGGAGGAGGCCTGGCACCTAGTGAGAGGGCTCAGGGAAGGCTTTCTGGAGGAGG